ATCCATACTATTGGACCATTATTAACAACTATTAAGCGTTTCTAAATCGCACAGGCGAGAGCCATATTGTTTAATTTGTGATACTTATGACGAATATAATCTACCATGATCTTTATGTAATTTTTAATATGCATATATTATGCATGTAAATACAATCTGAATGACATTCGTATCATACGAATATAAGAGAATATAAATAAGTATATAAGTAAGTATGTAATTAAATATATAAATAAGTATATAAATAAGCATGTAATTAAGAATATAAATAAGTATGTAAATATATACAGAAATAAATATGTCCCGGAAATCAACCCCGAAAGTTCCCCTAAATTCTAAGTAATTTGATTAACACTATTTCTACCGAAGTTATCAGAAGACACCTTTTAATCATTTCTATTTAACACTATTTTTACCAAAGGGGTTAAAGGACCATCTTTTAAAATAGCTTAATAAAAATTATTTACTATGTTTTATGTGTTTTTCTAAGTAATCGCTTCTCGACTTTTGCTATAGTCACCACTAGACTATATATGTATAATATATATATATATATAGATATAGATATATTAATATTAAATAGAAACAAACTGTTTCTTCCAATAATTTTGATAAACTGAAAGTAGTGCAATGAAATTATGAAATTCTTCTTATGTCTTCACAATGTTATATTTCAGCTGTTTCATATACAAGTACATATTTTCCCATAAATGCATAAAATCCACGTTCTAGTTGTCACAAAATCAATTCAGTAAATTATACAACACAAAATACAATCGGTAAAAGTGTTATTAACGAGAGAGAGGGAAACTAGAAAAATTCAAGTTTATTATAACAGAAGATATTTAACCCCTGTCGCATCTCAAACATCCCAGTAACAGCATTCTGTTTATTCGAATCCACTACAAATAAAGCTAAATTTCGAAGACTACGTCCGCACATGGTCGAAAATTAGCGCCGCCTTTGCATAACGGTTAATTTAAACGGCCTCGATAGAGTGGGCATTTTCGGCGTTGATATCCGACGACAACGGACCCGTTAACGAAACATCGCCAGCCAAATCAACAGGTAGACCTACCGCGAACAGAAGCCGATAGCGTACACTCCGTGGCAAAACGGCTAGCCAAAAATCAGAGGAGAAGACAGAGTGGTTGGTAACGCATGGCGAAGCAAATGGGAGCAGCAGAGACGGGGAACGGTAGCCAACGGTGCCCATAGATCACAGTATCACAGCTCCACAGCTCACAGTCTACTTTCGAGGGCCGGCCGTTATCGCGAGCACGTGTAAATGTAGGCGCATAATGCACGTACCTAGGCTCGGCGTAGGCCGCCGCCGCTGCTAGGGGATCTCGCTCCTGCCGGCTACCCTCTGTAATCGAGTGCGGCCGCGTTATCCTGGCAATTCCTGGCTGCGGTGGCCACTGCGTAATTTCGTCGTAGGCGGCATTAACCGGAGGAGCACGTAGCCAGCCGCTCGTCGACTATGCTGCCGGGCATCGGTGATCCCTGATTGCGCCCTGTATGACTTGCCATCAGTCCGGCCTGTCCCGTGCACTGCTCGCGCCACAAACACTCGCACACCGTTCCAAATTATCCACGCGAAAAACCGACGCACCGTTCCAAATTATCCGCGGGAAAAAACGCGCGCACTGTTCCCGCCGCTGGAGCCTTGCTTCTCGCGTGTTTCACGAATCTCGATTAAATTGAGCTGCGGTCGAAGGTAGCACCGAAACAACCTCGACGATCGTTTCGGGAGCAAGATTCAATTCGTTGATAGCTCCGGAAGAGGACAACGTTAGATCGAGACACGTTGTGTCACGGTTTTTGCTTCCAAGTCGATGTACAGTTACAAGAATGCAGGCTGTTGAGAGAGTTCGATGCGGCTGGCGCTATCTCCTGCGACTTTTGGCTTCGAAAGAGGATAAGATTACGCCGAGGCAACACTGTTCGACAGCACTGTCTTCCTGGTACGCGGAATGATCGTTCGAAAGAGCAGTGATTTCTACGGGAGCGGCACGCGGCGGGGAAAAATAATCCTGATAAATTTCCCGGCGTCCGTCCCTCTTCCCCCTGCCCCTCGATTCCAGCTCGATAGTTATTCGAAAGTACCGCGGCTTTTTGCGCGAGCACAACGAGGACAAGATCTCCTCTCCAACAGCAGCTCCCGAAAGCGACCAAAACGACGCCGAGAGCTAAACTTTCCTGTTCCAGGCGGTATCCTTCTGCGATCTTAGCACGAAAAAGGGAACGACGCGACGCTGAACTAAATTCTTTCGTCGCGCAAGCACAATCTTCCTCCCTCGGCTTCCAGGGGACGTGACGCGAACACAGAGTCAGGCGCGAGCAATTTTTTCACCGGCTTTAGCGCTTGCCCTCTCCGATTCGCGGAGGATGCATTCGCTCTGCGGTGTACGCACGACGAACACTTTCCAAAACGAGAACGAAACACAGACGATTCGGCTGCGAACAATGCTCGTTCGAGGAACGACAGACTCGATGGAACCGTGAAAAGGACGAGACAACGACGATCGACGCTTCTTCGCCAGCAGGCTTTTTCGATCGCGGCAAGAAACGCTATCGGCGTGTTCACGCTCGGTCGATCAGCAAGGACATTGGCGTTCACGAAATCTCTCTCTCTCTCTATCTATCTATCTATCTATCTCTTCACGCAGAATCCGGCTAGCAGCGTTACAGAGCTGCAGAGACACACCGCATCGCGGTGATTCGTGCCGCGTAAACACTGTAATTTCGCTGGATTGATTCACCGCGCACGGATCGCATTCCTCTCGCGTCGAAGGTCTCGCGCGGAGACGTAATCCCGGCTCGAGAGCACGGCAATCGATCAACCGCTTCTATTTCAGCAGACGCGGCCGACCCGCCGAAAGATCCCGCGAGGAAGACGAGGAGAGAGGCCTGGGAACAATCTGAACGATTTTATTTGGCGTCGAGATCGATCCGGCGATTCGGTGTTTCTTTATGCCGAGATCTATTTGTTGATCCGGTGTGTGTTCGCGCAGAATCTGCCTGTTTCACTCGAGAAATTTGATTCGTCGTTCGTTCATTGTGTTCTCCGCTTTTGAGTTATTTTATTCCACTCTTCAGTCACTCGAGAAATTTTATTCTCATTTCAGTGTATCGCGGTCTGCCTTCGATTTATTCTATTTCATTCTTCATCCACTCGAGAAATTTTATTTGATATTTAGTTCGTTGTATTTTGGTTCTGGTCTAGTTTATTTGTCTCTTCAGTCACTTTAGAAATTTTATTTTATATTTAGTTCGTTGTACTCTGATTCTAGCTTATTTTACTTTTCTCTTCTGTCACGCCAGAAATTTGATTTAATGTTTGCTTCGTTATAGTCGGCTTCTGGTCTATTTTATCTTACTTTTCTGTCGCTCCAGAGATTTCAGTTCACTTCTAGATCGTTGTAGTCGTCTGTCAACGTGCTTTATTCTATTTTACACTTCTGTCACACCGAAAATTTCGTTTGACTTCCAGTTAGCTGTAATCTTCCATTGATCTACTTAATTTTATTTCACACTTCTGAAATTTGATTTGATGTTTGCTTCGTTATAGTCTGCTTCTGGTCTATTTTATCTTACTTTTCTGTCGCTCCAGAAATTTCAGTTCACTTCTAGATCGTTGTAGTCGTCTTTCAACGTGCTTTATTCTATTTTACACTTCTGTCAGACCGAAAATTTCATTTGACTTCCAGTTGGTTGTAGTCTTCCATTGACCTACTCCATTTTATTTCACTCTTCTGTCACTACCAGAAATTTGATTTCGCTACGGTTCCGTTGTGCATTCTTCTATTAATCTATTTCATTTCACTCGTCTTGCACCTGATCAATTTTTCAAATTCTATTCCACCTCGATTCGATTTGCGTGCAGCCGCCAATCGACGAATCCTCGAGACACGTTATTCTGTTTTGCACAAAGCGTTGCACACTCGACAAACCACTGTAATTTCGACGTTCCGCGACTATTATACCTTGACGAACGCTTCTCCGAAACGATTCGATTTTCCACGGCCCGCCGAACGAACTCCTCGCGATTTTATTTGGCGCACTGGACGAAGCACAGAGAGATTCGAAGATGCACAGACTCCACACTGAGACGATCGACGCACCGACGCGCGACGCTTGTCGAGGATTCGAACCTTTCACGGCCGTCTAATTGTGGTACTGGCCTCTCACTATCACCCCGACACAATAACTGACAGTACAAATACTGTTATCGGTCGCGAGGACCGAGCACGACGGTCAACGCTATCGCGCGATGACACGCAAACCGCGCGAGATGATTTCTGGAAAACGGCAGGGGCTCGTTAGTACATATCGGCCGCAACTTCCGGTTTCCGTGGGCCCTCCGGCGAGCTACGGAATTATAACAACGCGAGATTATTAATTAAACCGCGATAAATGTGGATCGCTGCACCGTGCGCGACGATCGAAACTCCGAGATCGTGATTTCGCGCGATCGATTCTCGAAGGACGAAAAACGAGAAGAAATTAATCTATTTCGAAGAATGCACTTGCGGATAATAAAGTGTTTTTAGTAATAATATGTTTTTATTAAGCGAGGAGGTATTTTACCACTGGACTGTGGATTTTATGCACTTAGAATAATTAATCAATCGGATCTAAGCAGTGAAGACAATTGAAGATTTGGAAAACACTGTCGCACTATCTTCGACTTGCTAAAATTATTAACGAAAATGTACCTATTTTATTTCGACGAACATGTAACTGAGGATAGTTAGGATTATTTATAATTCTATTTATCAATTTATTTTTTTACGTATTGTCAGAAACCAGATAGTCAATAACAATATTTATAATTTAGGTGCAAATGGCCTCATCATTCGAATGTTAAAGGAAATTAATGTCTATGTACATACTTCTAGCATCGTACAATAAATGTGGACAATTTTTATTTCGCATGAAAATCAGCAGTCTAATTATCACTCATGGTTATACTAATATATGTATAATTTAATGTATAGCGCTGTTCCATAAATTAATACATAATTTTATAGCTAAATCCCAATGAAGATTATTTAGAATTTGTACGATTGTTCGGCTTGTATATAAATATACAGTCGTATACTATAATAGAAATTGGAAAAATGCGAGTAGATAGATTCTCATTATTTCCACAAAGTGAAGTGAAATAATCATCTGTAGTGCTCCATAGATCTAACGATAAGACGAAGCACAGATGGTCACTAATGGCTTTCCACCCTAATTCGAACAGCCTCGATAAAATACTAAATACCAACCACTAAACAGCGTACTCGATACTTGATCCATGCACATAAATTTCGAACTAGAACTCTTCATTACTTTACTGCGGATTTTACGAATTTACAGCAAAATCGAGTACATAAAATATAGAGCAGTGATGACATCGAGAAAATTTAGGATTATTGTGACGTTATTGTCAATTTATTAAAACTATTAAACGAAGAAATGCATCCTTACTTGTCTCCTGGAGCTAACAACTAATGAGGAGAATTCGTATTTTGCATACAAACTTACAAATCGTCCAAGTCAATTGTCAAAAACAGAAATTCAATAAAGACATATTTTCCTTTTTTTTAGAATTTGTGTAAGTCGAACTTATTGCAACAATGTTCTTAAATTCTCTTAATGTTATCACTGAGACTGCGGATTTTTATGCGAAATGAAAATTGTCTATTTATTCATCTGAGTCTGTGTAGTAGCAAATAATAAACATAAAAAAAGAGAAAAAAGATTTATTGCAAGCTACAGGAATTATGCAGATATTTACTTTTCTTTTCTTAAATTTAATGGATCGAAGGGAACGCAATAATATTTTCGTAACTTCTTTAAACGTGTTATTAATTCAATTTATTATTAATTTAATTGTATTATTGTTATATTGTTCCGTATTTAATCCACTCGTTTTCGTCGCAAATGCAAAAACTCCACAGTCGTATTTCACTTAATCAATTCGATCGTAAATCCATAAAATCCTCTGTCTACTTATTAACGAAAGTTTTCGCTGTTTAATTAAACGACGACGAAGACTGCGAGCAATGATGCTACGCGGCACAAATTCCGTGATCACACCGAAACTCTCTCTCTAATCCAACACAGCCCAGTCTAATTCCCGCACTACGCAACCACGATTAATTAATTTCTTTTTGCTTGTAATTAGCGGCGGAGAGTACAAACAATATGAAAGAAAGTACGAATTTTTTCGGGCGCGTTTCTCACGCAACTCAGCTTCTGGACCGCTCGTTAGCCTGGTCGTCCGGTCGAACTTCATCGAAGTGATTAAGGACCGGGCCCCGGGGTCTGTTCCAAGAATCCGTGAACGGCGATTCGTCAGAGCGATGGAAGATTATAAATCCCGATAACCAGTCGATATCCAAGGAACAAGAAATTAGAAGGGGTCAGGTATTTCCTGCGGCCTAAAACGAGCAGATAACAAGGGGAAACGAGACGCGGCGGCACAGTGGGCCCCCGCTCGAACCAGTGATGTTCTATGAAAAAAATCAACTTTTCCAAATTGGTAATCATTCAGTTTGTATTTCTTTGTAATGGTCTATATGCCGCGGAGACGAAGAAATTAATGAAATCGAATAAATATTCCGGTTCCGTATCGAAATGATTGTTCGATTTATAAATTAGCATCGAATTAAGGAGATGGAAGCTTTCATTTCCATTGCATAAAATACAAGTTTACAGCTTGAAATTAACGATAGAGCGGGTATAAAAATCGGACGATCATTTCGATGCAAATCATTCGTGTATTATTTAGGGAGGGAGTATTTTTTAAATATTTTTTAGCGACAATTTCGTTGCGCTATCTGCAATGATTCGAAAATTGCGACAACTTGTCACTCTGAATTCTTCGAACGGGGCCCACTGTGCGCCGACGCGGGACCAACGACGGGAACCACCGAAAAAGGAACAGTCGTAGATAAAAAGTGGCCGCCGCGGCTCCGACAAAAAACCAGCTAAGCTCCGGCGAGAGACAATGAATTTTGGATTATATCGCGGCGCGGTTAAAGGACGGCCGAGAGATTAAACAAGCTTAAGACTACAGCCGGACGGGGTGGGTATTCTTCTTAAGAAATTAACTGGAGAGAATCGTGTAAGCGCCGGTGTGATCTTTCGGGTGCTGGAATAATCGTCTGCCGGATATATTTCTGTTGGAGCCGGAATAAATTTTCGCGACATCCGTACACGTCTAACTCACGGTTATCATTCGTTTCGTTTTCGGGTCAAATTAACTTTATATTCATCGAATAGGACATGCGATTTTTTAATTATTTTATTTCGTTTATACTTGTGATAGCAAAATAACTTCGCATTTATCGAATGGAATATATTCGATTCTTTTATTGTTTCATTTTGTTTATAGCTCTAATAAAAATATGACTTTATTCTTGTTCTCTCTTTCGAGAGCGTGCAATCTTTTACATATTTCATCATTTGACAGACACGTTGAAAACGTGAGAAGTTCTCAAACACGAGAAAACTTGATGCAAACGAAGTCGAGTAATTTTCGAAATAATTTATTTCATCGCTGGAAGCGTTTGCTATAGTTAATTATTTCGATAGAACGGAGATGTTTTTACTAGGAAAAGTAAAAAGAAAAAATATAGAGGACACTTTTAACGGTGCAAATAACACAACGTTTACCCATAGAAAATTATACGACTGTGAAATGCCTGCTTCGTTCGGAAGAGGCTGCAGTTTAAATTATTTGTCATAAAAGATTAAACGTTTATCCTGGATTATTAATTATGCAGGTCAGAAATTGTACACGCCATCAAACCCTACATCAATCTTTAATAAATTGATTTCAATAAATATATAATAATCAACACTAGCAAATATCGAGCATTCGCGCGAAACTTTCACCGTTCGACCCCCTGCTAACATTTCAACGGTCACGATAAATCATTAGCTATCAGAATTAAGATCAAACAAGACGATTGACGTTGATCTCTCAAGGAAGTAGCGTGAAAAGCATCGAAAAGACAACCGCCAGGAAAGCATTGCTGCCATAAAATCGTCAAAAATGTGCAACGAGCAAGAATTCAATATCATCGAAGATAAAACAGAATATTGCGATTCCGCAACCAGTTGCATTGCGCCGTCCGCAGCATTTATCCTTCACAGAGAAGACGAGCTATCGGAATGCTCGTGGTGTTCCATGAAACAAGCGAAGCTCAAGCAACCCCATGAGAAAGCGTTCGCGAGTTAACGACACGCTGGACGAAGAGGAATACGGGAAGATTAAAGACGCTTTTCAATGGACAACCTACGCGCTGCGTGCCGCTAACAGTTCTAGGGTGCAGCGAATTTGACAGCGGGACGACAGCGTTAATGTCACTGTCACGGAGGAGATATCGCGGCGGGACACGATAGCGTGGACGTACTTGCTGGTTAATTTCTCGTTTCACAGCACTCACTTTTCGGAATCGCGAGAACACTTGGAAAGATGATCGAGGAAACACGGAGCGCAGGCGCGATGCACGGCATCGATCCTCTCGATCGCGCTGGCGCGGCAAGACTGCCGCGTGGATCGGGATCGGATCGAGGAACGAGCGACAGGGGCGGAGCAATCGTGGCCCGATCACTATTGGGCCCCTACTTGGGTACACGTGCCTCTGTTTCGTTTACTTCGCACCCACTGGCTGTGGAATTTTCTTCGCCAGCTTGGTTCTTTCATTTTTCATTCAAATTTTTGAACATCATTTGCTTATTTAACTAATTAACCGGCATGGAAACACGCTCGTGACATAGCATAAAACAAGTATATAATAATAGTACAAAAAAAAATGCAACAGAAAATAATAGTACAAACAGAAAGTACAAAAGAATAGTACATAAGCGATAATACAAAACAGGTGACATAGTAATCGCTAGACTCTGGATTTTATGCACTTATGGCAAAAATGAAGAATTAAAATGTGAAATTGCGAAGACCTGAAAAGAATTTAATAATATTGTCAAAGCATTTTCAATTTATATTGGAATTGCTTGAAGAAAGAATTCATTTCTATTTCATTTCTGTTTTGTACAATTGGCTTGGAACATTTTTATTCTGCACACAGATTCGCAGTCTACTATTTATGACCTTCTTACGACGTTTTTTGGGGAGGTTTTCGTCACTTTTTAGTAAATCAGTTTTATTTCTAAGCTTTTTATTTGCGTTGCTGTCTCATGACTTTCGAACCTTGTATGGCAAATTCGACTGACCCAAGTGTATCTTTATTAATGTAAATAATAATTAATATTAATGTAAATAATAAAATTTCCTCTTAAAATTTTAAGCATCGATTATTATGTGTACTCCGATTCAGTGATTCTTCGTGATAAGTAGACTGTGGACTTTTATATAAAATAAAAATTGTCAAAATTGCGAGATACGAAAACTACGTAGACATTTTTTACTTTCTCTAATTATTTTATCGAGTTGAAAATAATGCAAGTAACATTTTGAAATTCTTTAAATGTTACTGTTGTTTCGTATTTGATCTGTTCATTTTTATCATAAATACTTGAAGTAGAATTTATAAATTCTTTATAAATATTAATGCTGTTTTGTACATGATCTACTCATTTTGATCGAAAGTGCATAAAATTGTTTTACAATCTTTCACACAATGCTCTTTTAACATTGTTTTATGATGCCTCTGGTAGAAAAACTATCGAAGATAAAATCATTACATCGAATAATAATAAAATCAACCATTTCTATTACAGATTAATTATTATTACAGAGATGCTGTTTCGAAAAATGTTTTAAGACAAAATTCCTGGAGATCGTTAGAGTATATACAATAAAAGCGTTGTACATCTAAAAACTTTAGCCTGAAAAAATCAATAGCACTCTAATTTTATTGGTAGAGAGACTCTGCATTGATTAATAAATTTCTCCAATCTTTTCTCTCAATATTCTTTCTCAAGTGAAAACGATGCTGCGATGTAAAGGAGTCAACGATTAATTCTCTTTAAATATTCCACCTCTTAAGGAATATTTAAGTCGATTTCGTGACTCAGAATCAGTTCGCTACTGAATATTATTCTTTGACGCTTCGAAAACCGAACAATATATCGACTTAACATCGAAACGTCCGCGATGAGGAACGTTTCAATGTAGAACAGAAAGGAAAAATACGACAATAAAACGCACGTGTCGCGTACCGCTAGTGAATCAACTAGGTAAAACAGTAATGGACGTACAGTGCCACCAAAAAGTATTCCAACACGAAGTTCCCGATTTTTCGAAACACAGCTCATATTCAAACTGTCATAATTCCGTAAAAAAAAACATCGCGGAACTACGAATCCGTTTTCATTGGAAAGTTGAAAGCCTCTATTTTCATCGTCCATCATTCATTCCCTCCTAAAATAACTCTGCAGGTCATACGCCAGATGGGAAACCGAAGACACGACTTCTCTCTCGATGTTGCTACTTCAATCGTCTGTAAAATCCTTGGAAAACTTTCTTCGCGACTCGAACTACGTTCAACTCGAAGATTCGATCTTTCTCTTTCCAACGATCCCCTAAAATTAGCTGCACGATTTTTTCAAACCAATTTGCAGAGCCTTGAACGAAAAATCGTACCGCTAACTTTACACCAAAGTTGGACAAAATTTCATTCGATTGATGAATAACAGATAAGGATTATCGAATACAATTTTATTCGCGCGATATATATATATTATCGGATAATTATTCAATCGAGTAAAAATTTATTTAGATAACGATTTATCAAAATAAACATTTATTCGAATAAATTCCAACTCGGCCTCACACAGTCGGACTTGGTCTACGTTTTCGCTCAATAAAACAGTAAGAAAAAAAACGCGGATCTAATTATCGGGTGTCGTTATAAAGAGGAAGCTTTAATCTGCAAGACCATGCTAATTTCAATGAGAGAAAAGATCTTTCGAATGCTCCCAGCGACGTCTGAAAGATCGGTGCGGTGGAAGAGGAGGTTTCGAAAATAGGAAACGCTGGGTCGGAATACTTTTTGCGGCCACTGTAGGCAGAACGGGGCCGGCAACAATTCTGTTCCAATTCCGGAGACAATTTCCGCGGAGAAAACACGGATAGCAACGATATCGGAGCGCAGCCGGGTTTCGAATTCTCGATATTATTTTCTTTGCGCGCTCACTTCATAAATCGTGGTTCGCGCGACCCGGCCGCTTCAATTTCGCGGATCTCGGCGGCTGCTCGGTTTTCACCGTTCCTTCGACCGCCCCCGGGGAGGATCGAGATTTTGGCCCCGGAGAACCGGAGGAACGAGAAGAGTGGAGAGAGAGAGAGAGAGAGAGAGAGAGAGAGAGAGGAACGCGCAGCGACACGCTGCGCCGGTTCCCCGGCTCTCTTCAATTAAATTAATGAAACATCACAATCCCATTCTACCGGCAGGGGCCGCCTCCGCAAACAGCGTTTCAACGGAATTAAACTATCGGCGCGGCTCCTGGGACGAGCCAGTCAACTTTGTCCGCGGCCGACTACCGAACTCGAACGTTGCATCGACAATCACGTGGAAAAACGGGGCATTCCGATGTACAAGTTATCTTCTCTGATAAATAATAATAATCATAATCATAATAATATTATTATTATAACAATAATAATCGTAATCATAATAATCATATATAATAATTATAGCAATAGTAATCATAATCATAATAATTATTATTATAACAATAATAATCATAATCATAATAATTATTATTATAACAATGATAATCATAATCATATAATAATTATTATTATAACAATGATAATCATAATCATATAATAATTATAGCAATAGTAATCATAATCATAATAATAATTATTATAACAATAATAATCATAATCATAATAATCATATCTATAATAATTATAGCAATAGTAATCATAATCATAATAATTATTATTATAACAATAATAATCGTAATCATAATAATAATAATCATAATAATTATAATCATAATCATAATAATCATAATAATTATAACCATAATAATCATAATCATAATAGTTATAATCATAATAATCATAATAATTAATGATCATACTAATCATAATAATAATAAGCATAATCTTAATCACAATAATCATAATAATAGTAATCAAAATAATAGTCATATTCACAATAATAATCATAATCATGATCACAATAATAATCATAATAATAATCGCTATAATAATGTTTATACTTTGACAGGATGAACTCTTTGGTATACAATATATCATAATAACAAATGCTCGAGTGACAGCTATAAGAATAAAAATGATAGTAACAACAGTAACAGTGACGGTAGCGGCGGTAAGATAACAAATAATGATGATTGCGTACAATAATAATGGCAGAGCGTTTAATTCGGGTAAATGAATTACAAAAGAAAAGTAAATGTTTCAGTAAAAATGACACTTCTGTGTTAACATGAACGATGATATATTTAATTATAACGAAAATGATTTACATACACTGTAGACGAAACAACGGGAATTGACATAACCTCACATCCTACACAGATCACGCACTCTTACATATGTACATTACTACCAGCCTCCTATCCACGCATTGATTATCAACCCACATTTACACTACTGTCATTCACATACTAATTCACACTCATACAATGTACACTTTCAATATCCGTCACATTCATCTTCAATCTGAATTATTATACGTATTAATCCTTCACGGTCGAAGCCATTTTAATTCGAAATCCAAAATAATTTTACTGATCTGTAACATTTCCATTTTATACAGTCTTGCGGATTTTATACATATGAAATTGAATTTTGCGACTCGCACGATAGTTACACACTTTTAACAATTTTTTTTTAGTGTAAACGAACTTGATAATGTTACAATTATTGTTAGTAATAACTAGACCGTAGATCTTTACGAACAATAAAAATATACTGTGCCAATTTCAAAAAGTCAGAATATTGCATAAGAATGTATCATAGTTCTTAAGAGTTTTCATTATTTAATAAATAACATGCCTATGTTTCTTCAGTCGTTCGATGTTCATCCAATATTGTATTTCATCCAATTTTTTTTCCTAAACGCATAAAATTCGCAATCTAGTAGTAACCTGTTTCGCATGAATCTCATTCCGTTCTAGAAATCACGAATACACGATTACATTCGTAGATATAATATTCATTTATAAATAACGATTTAAATGAATCGTGCCAGTACGTACCAACTTAAGAAAAGGAACCAACATTGCACTGCGTTTACAAATAAATATTATATCTGTAAATGTAATCACGTATACAGTTTCTTTTAATAATCCTAAAATACTGTTCCTGTGTCACTTTTTCATTGTCATGGAATAATTAACCCTTTGCGGACGAGAGGCGTTTCGCGCGGCAGGACGAATGGCGAGTGAGAGGCGACAGTCGATGTTTATGTTAGATTTTATTATCTCTAACATTATTCAACGTACTGTTTTATGTGAAAGTCCCTGAAGTGGTGGCGCGAATTATTTTTCCGTGGTCTGGAAATTTGTTTAATCAATTCGTACAT